TAACACCATAATCACTAAGAAAATTGCAGAATTTTAGCCTGCATTATGAATATTAAAGAATATCTGTTCTCACGTCTCCTACCAAAGTGAAGTACATCCCATCTCCTACCACTGTGAAATTCCCTTTGCCTGATCAAAGCAAACTATGTTTTATTTTGTAAATTTAGCTTATTTATTTTATTTGACAGAAACATGTACTTCACATTGATAGGAGATGGGATGTACTTCGCATTGGTAGGATATAGGATGTACGTCGCGTTGGGACAATAAAATACATATAATCTTATGCTGTTTTCTATAGATTGACGGAGTTTAGTATATAATATGTTAGGATGTCAGTTGATACGATCAAAGGCTGAGTCGATTCATATTTTGTAGCCTTTTTACTTATAATAGGAATAAATTGTTTTATATATAAAAAATAAATGTTTTTGTTAGGAAAAAAAGATAATTGTTTATTGTACGATGGCAAAACTTGATATTATATGAGAGACAAGTGGTTGGTCCGCCCTAGAAAAGATATAAGTTATTTGTTATTTAAAATAAACTATTTACTAGAGTTTCACCCGCACATCCGTGCGGGTATATTTTTTATTTTATAAATATATAAATAATTTTTTTTAATATATGATTTATATTTTAGTTTTAATTATAATCATATCTAATAACGAAATAAAGAAATACTTATTTTATAAAAAATATATTTAAAATTTTTGGTAAGATCTTGTTAGATTTTTTCAACAGATTTTGTTATATTTAAATTTATTTATTATTAATGTTTTTATTAGTTATTAAGATATTGTGAAAATCATATATATTTGACTGGTTAATGTAACAATAAAATATGTCAATTAAGTAATTAATAACATGGTCCAACATGACTTCTAAATAGTAGATAAATTTGGTACTTCTCTTTTAATAGAGAAGATTAGAAACTATTGTAGTTTGTTTGTTATGTTACTATTTGAAACGAATGATTTTGTTAATGTTTTGGATGTTAATAAAATTATCACCGTGAAAAGAGATTGGTGAAAGAGTAATGGAATATGAATTTGATGTGTTATCAATAAGATTATATGATACAATGGTGAATATTTTTAGAATATTGATCAACTTAATTAGTGCATATTAAGCGTCAATTACAGATAGAAAAACAATGGTTGGCTTGACATTATTACCTATTTGGCTAATTACTAGTTTCAGTTCAAATATGGCATTATTAACTTTATTGATTTTACCAATATCGTTATGTCATGACTTGTTTGCAAAGAAAACTTTTAGATACGTTTTATCATGGTAATACTTCTAAATATTTAAGGTCACATAGTTTATAAGGAACAACAAAATACACATTTAGTCGACTACTCACACATTATCATGGTGACACTTCTAAATATTTAAGGTCACATAGTTTATAAGGATCAACGTAATGTTTTTGTCTTTTGATTCCAACTTCTCTAACATCCAGGTTCATGAAGTAAATAATTGTTGTATTCAAATTCGATCAATTTAAATGCTAAAATGACATATAAGCAAAACATTATTTACAAAGTTTTAGTATTTGTACATTGAATATTATAATCATTATCAATCAGATATTTTTTTGATGTAATATCAAATTTACTGATCAATCAAAAAATTCCATTTACAAAGAATAGACTAGCTAGAAATAAGAACTTATAATTATTATTTTTACCAACCATAATTCAAGATAAACATTACAAAATTTTGATTCAAATAAATAGCCATATTTTGATAAGTACATTGGTTGATTCTCTCGATCTATATATGTATGTTGCATGCCTACATTAGAAAATAAAACTTAACGTGTAGTTTACTTATAGTGGTAAAAGAGTATATTACAGCGATAACAGTACATTGTCAAAAGTTTGTCTATATTTTCAATCCTACTTTTGTTGTTCTATATATCTATATTCATGAAAACTATAAAATTTTTAAGTTGTAATTTGTTTTCTCAGGCATTTGCAAATAGAATTGCAAAATTTTTGTTTTAACAAACAAAGAACATATAGAATTTTCCCTTACTTTTCATTATACATCTTGAAACTCATCATGATGGCTCCTAAATTTGTCAAATCGATAAAAGTAATCAAAAAATCTCACAGGTCATTCATTAAAAAGTAAGTATAATACTCTAGTCTTCTTCTTCTCCAACCGTTGACGTCTCGCTCTGGGGGTCGCTCTGGCTTGGGAGCGATGTCATGGGGTCACTCTGGAAAGTCGCTCCCGCCTTACTCATCCAATGATTACTTCAAACTCCTCTTTTGGACCTCAAATGCATCCAATCACCTCCAAGAACTCCACGGATACTCCAATACCTGATAAGAACTCATGTATGCAAAATGCAACATAGAAATGACTAAATCCTAGTCTATATGATCAAAATGCATATGGGTGAATGGATAAAACAATGGAAATATGCAAGACATCAACTCCCCCAAACTTGTTCTTTACTTGTTCTCAAGTGAACTTTCTAGAACTCATAGGAAGAGAGGTTTGAAGGCGGAAGCTCATAGCCAAAAAAAACACATCTAGAACTCAACTTAACATCCTAAAGAGGCATAGCAAATAGCATCAGCACACTCTCTTATTATACTTTAGCTTCTCTAGTCCTATCAATACACTCTTATGCCTTTAAGCAAGGTGCAAAACTCTTCAATTTACAAGCTCTTTAAACCAGCTCTCACATTAGTTCACACACACACACAAGGTGAATTCACAAATGGGCACATGATCTCTAGCATTTGGCTAGGCAAGCGAATGGTCTAATGAGAATGAAAAGGAGGGTTCAAATGCATTATTTTTTTTAGTGACTATCACTCAAGAACAAGGAGCTTGATCATTATGCAAAATTTATCTAAGACTAGAGGTAACTCATGCATACATAGTCTTATTCTCATCATTCTACCCTTTTCCTAAGTGATCACAAGTTCTAACCCTTTTTCTTCATCCCATGATCCCAAATAACTTTTACTCACATCACTCATCCAATGAGCAAGTTTCTTTCTCTCTTTTTCTTTTCTTTTTATTGATTTACACCACCAACTGGGGACTCTTCACACACTTTTTACTTCTTAGCTCTAACTTTTCTTATTTTTGTCTTTTTTTTTGGTAAGGCTTTCTTTTAGATACAATCTAGAGCTTATCTTCTTTTGTTTTCGTCGTTAGTGGCTTTCTTTCTTTTCTCAAGGTACACTTTAGCTCAGCTTTCTCATAATCTGTCATCCAAAACCCAACTTTTAGATTACACAAACCCACTCACCATCCTAGATGCTAGCTCAAAAGAGGTTCCTATGCTAGCAAGAGATGAGAACAATCCTATGTCGCATCCAATACTCTCAAGATTTTGTACATGACAAGCTATCAAAAGAGTCCTCACTCATGCAAATCAAATGTTTGGTTTCAAAAGAATGGCTTGTGTTCAAAGGTGTGGAGTACCATTTGGGTTAACAAAAGAGTGGTAAAATGGAATAAGATAACCCAAATGTGTATGAGATCCATGATCAAGTATGCAAGTGCCCATATGCAAGAGAGATTAAGTTCATTAAGCCAAGTTTCATATTGGATCTGGTTTCAAGAACAATATCAATTTCAAGCAAGCAAACATGTTTCAAGAAGAGTTGTCAAACCTCGAAGCGTGCAAGGCTTTCAAGAGATGCTCAAGCTGCTTGATATGTCTAACTAGGGTGTCACTTTGAGCCCTTGAAAAGGTGTTTTAAAATAATTGCTCCCAATGCAAGTGAATGCAAGCTATATTCTCTAGACTCTCCTAGAAATACAAGTGATGCAACCTAAATGATTTTTCTTTTGTTTTCAAATTTTCAGTTTTTGTGGTTTTTCTATGCCAATAAGTATGTACAATGCAATGCATGAGACTCAAAATCAACAAAGAAAACATGATTAAATACTTGGTGCCTCCTCCAAACTTATTTCACATAGTTTTTGTGTTGTTAAGTTGAAAGAAATACCCAAAAGAGACCTAAAATGCAAAAATAAAAACTGGTATATAGAATGGAAAGAAGTGGAGTACCTTGCTAGTTAGTGAGAAGGAGGGTCCTTGCCACCCTCAAGAGTGATGGTGAGGACGTGGGAGAGAAGATCTTGAAGCTTGGTTGGATCATTTTGGAGTTGAGGAGTGGTGATGGCTCTTGCACTGGAGAATGACTTAAACTTTCCCTTGCAGTTGATCTTGTACGCGATGGCTCCATCCTTGAGCTTCATTAGGTGGAAAGTGAGGGTGTGTGGCATCTTGTCAAGAGCTGGAGGTTGAGGTTCTTTCATTATCTTCTTCTTGTCATGAGCAGCCTTTGTTTGTCCATTCACCCCCTCCTTTTTAGCACTTTTCAAGTGCTCTACACACAACTCTTGTGAAGACTTGCCAGCAAGATATTCTTTCTCAGTTACAACCACTTCAGCTTGGATCTTCTCAATGGATGTGTCTTCAGAAGTGATAATTCCACAATACCCAACATCTATTTTTTGGACGAAATACCAACGAAATGTTAATATTTTTATATTGTTATTATTATTTTAGTATTTTTTATCTTCCATTTTAAATGAAAAATTAAATGGCCTAACTTTTCAACGGAACTGGAAAAATTGATGACATTGAATATCTGCTTTCCTGACTTCAAGATTTATTATGTTCCTAGACTTCAGAACAGCGTTTCTGATTCTTTAGCTAAGATAGTTTTTTGTCGTAAGCTTGTGTACGTTGGTTGTTCTATTCCGGTCTGGTTACCCAGACCACCTCAAGTTGCTTGAGTAATAGATCAGCCGTGATGTTAAAAAAGAAAAAAAATGAAAACCCTTCCTCAAAAAGCGTGTGTAACAAAGATGAAAAATATGTGATGTATTCAAATATTTAAATTTATGCTCGGGGATGGAAAAGAACACATAATCAAGCAAATCATTCAATTAAAAGTTTATTCATTATATCTCACACTGTTTTCATTCAAATTATATAATTTTGCTCAACTTTATTCCCCATGATCGTCAGAGATTTTAGTTTGGATGTTGTAGACGTACGAGTTGGAGAAATAGACAAATGAAACGAAGGAAATGGAGCTAAGACAAGCAAGTAGCCAATAGAAGTAATCAAGATGTGCCTGGTTCAGGTTAGTAGCCAACCAGCTCACTTGACCGGACTGGCTTGTGGTTCTCTCAATAACCAATACCAGTATGCTACTCAAGAAGTTGCCTATGCCGATTACGCTTAGGTAGAGAGATAGTCCTAAGCTCCTAAGCTCGACTGGGACCTCGCCGTATAAGAACTCTTGTAAACCAACCATAGCGAAAACTTCAGAGACTCCATGGAGAACGTACTGCGGAATCAGCCAGCAAATGCTCATCGGGACCGTGGCTTTAGGTGAATCTACTAGGCCGTGATGTTGAGCGGTCTTGAGTCTTTTCATCTCGACCAAAGCAGCTATTACCATTGAAATAATTAAGAGGAAAGAACCGGTGGAAATCCTTTGTAGCGTTGTGATTCCTGCTGGTTTATGAGTAATTGATCTTGCTAATGGAACGAATAAACGGTCATAGATTGGAATGGAGACGATGATGGCAAGGCTTATGAAGCATTGGATTGTCGCTGCAGGGACTAGGAACCCTGATGTGATTGATCTGTTCATCGTGGATCCTTGCACTGTGAAGAAAGTAAAAGTTTGCGCATAGATCATGCCAAATACCAAAGAACACAGCCAAATTGGAACAATACATAAAAGAGCTCTTGCTTCCTCAATTTCGGATGAATCACACGAAATGACTGCCTTGTCCAGGAATCTGCAGTCGCCAAAGATTGTATTATTTAAAGCCTTTTTCCTCTAACTTGTAAAGAAAGCAACGTCAGATAAATACATTTTTTCTTCTTTTAAGTAGAACATATTAAATATTGAATTTATAAAAAAAAATTAGTTAAACCTAACCGACAAGACGGTAATAAAGCTTTATTTAAAAATTCACAAACAAAAAAATGACTGGATAATAAAATAGCGATTTAGGTAAAACAGTGGTTTCATTTGAAAAAAGAAACGTAACATGTAAACCTACTACTTGTATTACCCAAACTTGTTCGAAGTTTCGTTAGGCAGAAGATGCAAACTGTCTGAAGAAGTCTCTCCTCGGTTTTTAACTGCAGCTACGAAAACACGACCAATTCTTACAAAGGGGTTACCATGCTTTCTTCCTTCTCCCCGGGTGCTGCTGAAGCGGTAAGTGTTGGTTCCAAGTAAAAATAAGAAGAGAGCGAGCACCATGGAAATACATGGAATTCCAAATCCTAAAACCCAACTCAGATTCTCTTGGATATAATTAGAGACAAACCGAGTAATTAATATGCCAAATGATATTGCAAAATACAACCAGTTAAAGTAAGAGCTTTTGGCTCTGGACTCATCAGGGTCTTGTTCATCAAACTGATCTGCTCCAAAAGCTCTAAGACATGCCTTGAAGCCTCCTTCGCCTAGCGCTATTAGATAGAGAGCACAAAAAAACATTGTCACTTTGACCTGAGAAACGCACGAGACGAGTGCTTCTTGATCTTTACACATAGAAGGAATGGTCGCTGAAAACGTAAGCAGTATAAGTCCCTATAAAATCAAGATTGCACAAAAGAAAAGAAATATACATATTTAGAGATTCTGTAATAATGATAAACACGCTCATGGTGTGTTATTAAACTTAGAGGTAGTAAAAGCGGAAGTTTACTATTTTATTTACCAATATATAGAAGGAGCAGGTTACGAGGATGGTAGAGAAACGGCCGAGAAACGAGTCAGCAATAAAACCCCAGAAGAGAGGCAAAACAGCTGCGGTTCCAACCCAGAGGTTAACATTTGATGCTGCAGCCGCCGTTGGCTCCCCTAACTGCCCCGTGAAGTAGGTTATCAAATTCGAGGCTATCCCGTAGTAGGCGAACTTCTCCGTCATTTCAGCACCTGCCGGAATATTCTCTTTATTTAAAGTCAAAAACTGAGAAGGTTGGAGAAACGAATATTAGTAACTTACCCATGATGAAGCCACAAGATCTCCATCCACCAGAAGATGATCTGACGGATGGTTTTCCTCTAAAATTGACGGAGCAGTCGACAATACCATCTGAAACTCTAGCTCCGGCCTCAATACACGTTCCGGATATCGACATTAATGCTTCTTATCAGGTTGTTTTAGCAATATGGTAGTAGATTAGACTATTTATAGCAATGTTTAAGAAATGGTTAGGAGTTAACTAGACGCTTTGTAGATGACTTAGACAGATTAGTCAGGCCTAGATGAGGCCTAGGCGCTATTGATTTATTTTATATATTTTACATTTATACACAATATTTAGTTTCTGACTTTAATTATAATACTATTTTGATGAATTAGCAAACTTAGATACATGTAAAAAAAAAAAGAAATTAGACAAATTTGTGAATATGTACTACTAAAATTATAGATAAATAAAACAGATTTACACTAACTAAGATCGTTTTAAAACTATTTAAAATGGTTTTAACCGATTTGAATCATATAAATTAGATTTAATGAAAATTGTTTTGGTTATAATCAATTTACTGCCTAGGCGAGGATATAGACACCGTCTAGACTGATTTTTAAAACCATTATTTATAGTGATTGACATGGCAGCATATGAACAGATGAGCGTGATAATCACAAAATATCAACAGTTGACCATGTAGAAACAGTCTTTTAAGGTTATCATGTCAATTAAATGATGATAGAATTGGTAGAATAGGACACATCGATCTAACTTGAGTTTGTCCCAATAGAATTTAGACACTAGAAATTAGGGGATTATGATTTAGATGAAGGTTAATATAAATTTAACCCTAACAAACCGAATTATTAGTTAAGTTAGACATAATTATTTTTACATTAATTTTAAAATAAAAAGCACAAACACTCGTTGAAAGGAGGACTGTTCCATTTCTCTCAACATCAACGATCAAACATGCTGCAAAATATGTAAAACCCACATGAAGGAAAAGTAGTCTAGAGCATGTCCATCCTGTTTCTCAAAGTAGGTATCTTGAGCAAATTGACTTTTTTTTTGTCTGCATCTTCTTTTTTCTTTAATAATACAATTTTGTCTATAAACTAAAAATTCTCTTCATTGTTTTTATGCATTCACAAGGTAAAAACTTCCTAACTTGTAGTTTTTTAATTTTTATATATAATAATTATTCCAATTTTTTTTTATAATAACTTGAAATGATACTTTTATCTTGTAATTAATTGTTTCTAATATATTTCAAGTTTCTAATAGATCAACATGCATTAAAAATTGGAAAACAATATATTTTTTTACAATAAATTATGTAAATTTTATATTCTTTAAAACACTAAAATTTGCATTCAAAAATACTAGTACAAAAATTACTAATTCTCTACAAATCTGTATTACACACATACATGCTTTTGTTGTTCTAATTAATTAAATTTTTTTATTTTATGTAAAATTAGTTTATTAAATTCATTCATGCATGTAATTAATAATCATTTAATATTTACATATATTTATACATTAAATATTTTTATAAACCATTAATATTTTCTTGACAATGAAATAGTAAAGATATATTTTTATTATTATATATATATATATAAATATATGAGGTTTTTGTATTTTGTGTACAACTAGTTTTATATCTTAAAGTTGTCTCACATATCTACATTCATTAAAAAAACAAAAATTAATATATGTTTTTGACTAATATTGAATTCTTTCATCTTCAGCTTTCACAAATTCAAAAATCTTGAGTATTAATTTTTTTAGTTGAACTAAACGGTAAGAAAAAATAAATAAATAAAAATACAATAAATAAATAAGAATACTTTTTATAATTTTTATTTGAGATGAATTTTCATATAATTTATATTTTCACAATATTTAATTAAATGATTTCTTACTTATTTATAATAATTTATCATTTATTTATAATAAATTTTATTTTGTTTAGTTATTTAATTTTAATTAAATATTTAATTAAATTAACGTAAACTATATTTGTTATGCGTGATCTGCATTTGTTATGCTTGGCCTTTATTTCTGTTTGATATGTATATTTTCTGATCTATGTTTTCCATTCGAAGCCATTGATTCACATGCCTTGTTATGTGTTATAATTAATTTCAAGTGGACGGCTACAATAGCAACGTGGCAACATTTTTATTTAATCAAATTAAGTCAATCCTTGTTCTCTAGCTGATCTAAAATGAATATAGCAATCATTGTATATTTAGTTTGTTTTTTAATTTTTGAAAATATTGACTTTAGCTTTTAAATGACTTATCTTTTCATTTACGTTCCGTGCCATATATCTATGTTTCAACGTCCCCAAACATTTGATGTGGTGTAAGTGACGTCTCCGTGTTTTTTTTTCTTTTTATTTATTTATTTAAAGATACCTTTTATAAATAGATGGGTTCTCCAAACTAACATTTCCTTTTTCTTCAACTTTTTTTGATCTATTCATCCCACTTGTTCATATTATTTATGAAAATACTACTATTTTTTTTTTTAAATATTGTTTTTTACTCTCTCAACTTCATCATCTTCAAGTATTTACAAGATTGTCATTGTCACCAATACCCTAACTATCATGAACAACCAATTTGAAGCTCATAATGCACCTAAAATCGATTTACACTCTCTCTTTTTCAATTGTTATGAACTTAAAACAATATCTCTTTCACTTTGTCTCCATATTCATCCAAAAAACTCAAGCTTTTGATTCAAAAAATATTATGGTTGATAGAGCCATTCAAGGTTACTATTCTTCGTGGGTTACTTTCGTTTGAGGTTCTGGATGAGTTGAAGAAGACTCTATGTGCGAAGGAAGTCATCTCACTAATTTAAGGTATGAAATTGAAATTTTTAAAATTTGCGTAGAAGACTTACCCATAAGTCGTCTGGCCGTAGAAGATTTACGGGTAATTCTTCTGTTCAAACAAACGACTTAATTCTAAGTCGTCTAGCTTTGTTTGTTAAAAAAAAATCTAGAGAATATCGTAGACGATTTACCAATAAGTTATATATGATAAACATGTTAGTTTTGCATTTGACCGACTTGTGTCAGATATTTGACTTTTTCTGGACGACTTACCATTAAGCCATCTCTGAGAAAACAAAAATTTCAATATTTTATTAAAGCTAGACTACTTATCTTTAATTCGTATCAGGTTAGTTTTGCAATTGAAAAATAAAACTTAAATTTTTACTTCTCCCAGACGACTTACACTTAAATTTTAGAAGAAATCGTTTCCTGATGCGATGCCGTTTTTATAAGATTTCTCGAGTTGATCCTATAGTTTTGACAATGCACGATGTTATGTCTAATCGTTGCCGTTTTATACGATCTTCCCGAACTTTACGAGAAAAGAAGACTTTTACGATTGTTATTGTAAAACTTGAACGGTAAGAAGGATCGAGACGAAACAAGAGACGTTTCGACCATGGTTCAGAGCATGATCAAACCGAAGGATGTATGCCTTGAGTCGAGGACGTGGGAGATCGAGGCTTGGGATGGTCAGCTCGGCGTACGGCAAGCCGAACCGAGTTGGTTCAGCTCGCTATACGGCGAGCTGGTCTGAGACCGACCAGTTCGCCGTACGGCAAGCTGAACCGGCTGGTTTGGCTCGTCGTACGTTGAACTTAGTTCAGTCGAACCTGCTCGCGGTTTTACAGCGGATGCGGGTTTTTGGTTTTTCACTTAACTTGGGTAATTGTGTAATCGGTGATTGTTTTGTTTGTTTTTCCGAGATGACGTTTTCCAAGTTTTTCCGCATATTTCCTTTGTTCGGAAAGTCTTTAGAGTTTTATAAAACAATTTCTCGTGTTTTATAAAACGTATTTTAATTTTTGCGGAAAGTTTTGGTCATTCCGTCGTACCGATTTTGACCCCAACAATATCTCTTAAAACATATGTTAATTACATGATTTCAATTTTTCACTTATCAAAATATTTTTTACAAAACTTTTAAATTATTTTTAAGAATAACTATACTAGACGAGTTTCAAGTAACTCATCCATACGACTTACTTGAAAGTCGTCTGGACAGAATAGTTGCGGGGGTTAGAAACGTAAGAAAATCGGGTTTTTGTTTGTTCACAAGAGATTGGTTGTAATTTCAATATCCTTTTAGGTTACTTTTACATTTGATTCAAGTTTGAGTTTACTTTTGCATTTGAAACCAAGTTTTGAGTCATATTTGGCAAATTTCCAGAGAAAGAAACTTCATGCGAAAGAAGAATAAATATGAGTTGATTATGGCTAGAAGTAGTTGAACCAAGTTAGTAGGTAAGTATCTCCTGGTAGCTGAGTTGCTGATAGTCGGGCTCTAGAAAGTGAAATACGGTCCATTCCAAAAAGTTTTGCACGCATGATGGTTTTGATTTCTCTGATAAGAACATGAGCTGGTCTTGTCAATGAAGTGTGCAATCTAGCATTCCTTTCACTCTATAAAATGTACCAAACTCCCTGCAAAAGAAGCTTGCATATCGTTTTAAGCTTACCATTGATAGTGCAGGACTGAACCCAAGTCAAGGCAGATTTCACAGTAGTAGGAGGAGACAGTATGCTATAAGCAAAGAGAGGAGTCCAAACACCTGAGGAATAGGTACATCCAAAAAAAAAGATGATCTCTTGATTCATTTGCACTATTGCAGAGTAGACAACGACTAGGAACATTCATTCCCCATCTCAGCAGTCTATCATTAGTAGGCAATCGATTCCACGCAACTATCCACGCATGAAAGGCATGTTTTGGAATGTTACCACTAAACCACACTGTTTTGAACCAAGTAACTTGAGAAGGGCTTTGATGAAGAGTTTCCCAAGTCTTAGAAACGGAGAAAGAAGTCGGTACTGAGCCAGGTGAATTTATCCATTGAAAAACATCTTGAGCTAAAGGATCCAAATTATAGGAAACAGAAGAGAGACAATCCCTGAGAAATTGATTTAAGGGATGCCTACCGCGAGGAATAGCCCAGCCTTGTGAAGTAACTGCCTGAGAGACGGAAGAAAATTCCTCAATCCCAGTAACTCTTGGCAACCACAGATTTCCGTCAAAGGTCCTAACCCCGTCCAGTTATCATGCCAGAAGAAAGCGGCAGCTACTGATCGGACATTGCAAATGAGAAACAGTCTCGCTATAGGACGATGCCTCATAAGAGCTTTCCATAGCCAAGAACCCCGATGACTAAAATCTGCTGTCCATATTAGTCGAGAACCCGTGACGTCCCCGTGTTACATGGCACATCCGTACAAAACAATCCAAATGGCACAGACGCAATCTCCAAGGTATGTAAATTTAATATATATTCCTTCATGTTTTCATGTTACAGTGTTCTTGGTTACCGTATGAGGCCTTAGATCGTTAATTTTGTGGAGGAAACGTTTCGATTATTCCGTGCTCTAGCAGAATGATATGATCATTTGTCCACATAAATTCAAAGTGCCAACCATATGATTGTTACTGCTTTCCCAAAACAGGTTCAGTCTCCTCTTGTTGTTGATGATGATAATGGGGAAGAAAAATCAAAAACTAAAACAAAGATGAGATTAGGATCCACAATTAGGGTTTAGTTTTTTGACGATACGAAAGTGTCGGATAGAATGGATTTCTTGTTTGAGCTCATATGTTTACTGTGGGCTTAGACGTAGATACCCGTGCCTACTTCACCGCAGCTACCATGATCATAGCTGTCCCCACTGGAATTAAATAAGCACAGTAGCAGTTTAGAGCCGAAGGAGCTCTATTTTGGATTCTATAGCCTACACGCTTGCCTTGACTTTAGGGGATCGAAGTTGGATGAATCTCCGGTGGTTCCTTTCATCGGCGTCATCGAACCACGTTAGATCCCGATTCTTGGTTGAGTCAACTGACAAATGAGATTGCATGATAGAAAATTTAAATAATAATATTTAAAATAAATATTTGAAAATATGTAATTATACTAAATATACCATTCCTTAAAGATAACTTAATTTGTATTCTTTAATAGAAACTAGGTTAATACTGACGCATTTGCACGGGATGAGAATTATATATAAAAATTATTTTTTGTTTTATTTTTATTTTGTGCTCTTTTATATATTATAAAATAAAAATATATATATATATTGAATAATTGAAAAAGCTGTAACTGTTATATATACAATTAATTTAGCGAGCATTTAAATAAAATAATCATATTTTTATTGACAATCACTTTATATAATCTAATTAATAAATGATATTAACATATATATATATATATATGTATATATGATATACTTTTAATTAGGATATCTAATAAATGAAGCTTCACACTTACATGGTTTTATGATCATTTGTATATTTTTATAATAAAAATTTTAAAATATTGATCACATCATTTTAATGTGAGAGGTTTAATATTTACAGTAATTTATCATCGTTTAAAAAAAATAAATTCAAAGTTTTCATTAAAGTATTAAGTTTTAAATACTTGTTCAATGAAATTTTGGAATTAGATATTTATGTATTTTTAAATAGTATTTGGTTTAATTTAAACATCACTACATTATATATATATATATATATATATATACATCTAATTTAAATATCTATTAAATGGCATTTCTTACTTATTAATTATATAATTGTTTGTATTGTGCTATAATAAAAAATTTAAACTATTAATCAAAAATATTATATGTGAAACTTTAAGTTTTTTATAAATTTATAGTCTTTTTTAAAAATTCAAAATATAACACATATAAAAAAATCTATTTTTTGTAATATAGTTAATGTTATTGTTTAATTGATTTTCGCAATATAAATTTAACAAAAAGAGTAGAGGCTATACATTTTTTATCAAATCTTTCATAATCAAATCATTAGTTGTCATATATATATTATAAACATATTAGGTAATTCCGTAATTTTATTAAAGGAAATAATGATTAGCATTAATAATAGTTCTATGCTTAGTTTAATAAAAAGTATATTATATGTTTATATGGACTAACATTTTTCTCTAATAAATTTTAGAAGCATTCTCATGATGACACGTAGGTACCAAAACATGTTGTAATGCTTTTCAATTAATAAATATACTAGGTGATTTTTCCGTGCTCATGCAAGGGTATAAATATTTTTAAAATATATATATATATATATGATAATAATTGATTACTATATATTTTTAATTTTAAATTAATTTATAATTTGTATGCATCATTTTAATTAATAATATTATATTACTTTAATTATACTATCATTTTATATATGTTATATCTAGTCTATTTATTTTTTTTTTACGATTGATTTAGTTATCATTTGGATAAATTGGATTGTATCTCTGAATTCAACTGTAATATTTTAAAAATATATTAATTTTAATTAACTATTTATTTGCATGTAGTGGGTGTTGTCTTAGATATGTAAATATAATTTAGGAAAATTATGTATAACTTAAGATATATTATGCTTAGAATGAATTAAAAATAACTAAAGTGTAAGATTCCAAAATACGTAAATTAATATAACGATAATATTCTAAAGTCTCATAAGTTTTGAGTTATCCTATGATCAACAGAAGATTACTTGCATAAGTAGTTGATACACTTTTGGAAGCTCATGAACACATATCAATATTTACAATAATTAAAATATTTATAAATTCTAGATAACTTTATGCTTTAGATCTATTGAATGTAAACTGAAATTTATTTTAAATATTCTTAAAATTGAAAATTCAGATTTTCTTTGGTATTTTGATTATGGTTATATTTAGTTTCACAAACATAAAAACATAAAATTTAAAACAAAAATTAATATTAAGAAAAAACTAATTTTAATAATAATTAAATATCATATATCTAGCTCATTAAACTAATTGTTAATTATTTAATCAAACGATGTTTATTGTTAAATTTAATTTTAGTTTGTAATATCTCTTAACAATAAGCACTACACAAAATTGTGATTGTATTTGAAAATAATATTATATAAGTAAAATATAATTTATAGATATTTTTTTTGTAATTGAAAGATATTATTATCAACTAAATATATGAAAAATAAAATAAAAATTCAATAATATTAATTATAAACTATTTTTATTATTCTCAAAGTATATTTTATATTATTTAAAAATATTTTTAAATGTATTATTACTATTTTGTGAACTTTCTTTTTTTATGAAATCTATACTATTATTTGTGAAGTGATTTTTCGCAACGGAACTCTCATGTTAAAAGTTAGAGTGGTTAATATCGTTTATACCCTTAATGAATAAAATATATAAATTAGACATAAAATAAAGACTACTCTCTAACTAAGTATATATGTAATAATAATGATAAGAACTATCCATAATCTAAATATATATTTAAAAAGAAAAATATAATATTGTGTTGTTATCCGAAAAATATATTTTCATAAAAAATCAAAAACAGAAAATACATAAATAAATACTCATAAATAAACTTTTTAATTGTACATAACTGAAAAGAGAAAATTGAGATATTTATAATACATAATTATTTTTTAATTAAAAGAATATAATAATATAACGTAATGATATATATTTGTGAAGTAATTTTTCGTCTCTGAACTCACACGTTAAATTAAATTTATTTTATATTTTATATAGTATAACATTAAACATGAATTAATCATAATAAAATAAAAGATCATTCAAAAAGAAAAAAAAATACGTTGTTGACAAAATAAATTCAAATATATTGTATTATTATCCAAACTAATATTATTCTTTCTGTAAGATCAATTTTTGAATGTATATTTATTGATTCAATTTATCAAATTGAAAGTTAGGTTTCTATATTTTTTTTATCAATTGAGAAGAAATGAAACAGATTTTAGATTTTGTTGTCAAAGTTTTAAAGGGAAAAATATTTTTTTTTAACTTATGAATAATTATATCATGTAAAAACGTTTAATGTTATAGGTCTAATTTTTTGGATGAAAATCATTTATTTTGATGATTTTTTAAATTGTTTTGAAAATAATTAATCCCGCATGTGCGGGCAAAACACCTAGTCATATTATATATACATATATTTTCGTTTTCAATTGGTTTTTATGAATTTATAAAAAAAATTCTTTTTTATTACATATATTTTTGGAAATTATTAAAAAGAAAACTAAATTAAAGAATGAATAATACTATTTTTAACTATTTTTAATTTATTAAGGATATTAGTGTAATTAATCATCGTGAGAGTGAACTTGATAACGACACATTGGAAACTGACTTCTCAAATAATATTATAGAGATATGGGACATTTGGCCATTTTATTCTTTGTGTGCTAATTTTGATAATTTTTTTCTTACTTTTTAGAAGATTTTTTCCTAATTTCTACCAAGTTCTTTCATTATCTTTTACATTCATTTAACATCAGCCTCATTATTTCTCTTTTGAAAATTTAAGAATTATTTTGTTCCTAAAAATTTTTCTCATGTCGCCGTCCAAACTCTTTTTTTTTTTTTGGGTTCAAATGTCCAAATAAAATTAAATATATGGAATTAAGTGTAATATAGAACAACAGTTTTAAATATTTGTAACTATGTCGCTTAAATATTTTTTATTCAATATTTTTACACTTTGAAGAAATATCTCTATTGATCAAACCCCGCATCACGTGAAAATATAATCTCGTATTCATACTTTTGAAGGGCACTTTATGTATCGTAATTTTGTGACAATTAATGATAAATTCATGGATATTTTTTCCTCAAATAAACTCTTTTTCCCTTCATAGAGTCTTCTAAACAAAAATCAAATTCGTCGGTTAATAAAAATAAATTCATGGAAATCCCATGTATTGGACCGAATTTATTAGGAAAATAAATTAAAGATCACAAGCAACAATTCCAAAGCAAAGCACACTTCATTGTTTGTTGGTTAAACTTACCAACAAACACAATACAAGACGCATCGTATTTATTTCTTAAAAATGCATTTTAAATATGAAACACCACCCAGACTCTCAACGTGGACATTGGCCTGAGTGGCTGTATATTCGGCATCAGATCTTGCCGCTACGAATCCCATTCTTCTCCTCGTACGTTGACTTACCACCAAGCTTGCGTGCAATCACCACAGAGGTAGGCACGTCATTGGTCATCGGATGATGAATCGTCAAGACATCAAAGCCTTTAAGATCAGAAGGATCAACGGATTGATATATGAAAGATCTAAGTCCATGAGAACTCCTAAGCATGAGAAGCGCTCCAGGAGCCATGTGTTTCTCTAAATGTTCAATAGCTTTAGCCTTTGCCTCTCTGGTCAACCCAACCATAGATGCCATAAAGATTACGTCGTACTCACGTAGAATCAGCGAGGTCATGTTGAGTAAGTCCGTGGTGAAGAAGAAGAGGCGCTGGGAGAGGTCGGGGTCACGTGAAACAAGATGGGAGGCGAGAGCATTGGCTTGATGGTCAATGTCGAAGTTGTGGAACGAAGTGTTTGGGAGGTGGAACTTCGCCAAAACGATGGACGACATGGGTATGGGACCCGAGCCCACGAACGCAATCTTGGTCGGAAGACGTATTGTGTGTTTCCTGATTAGAGCAAGCTCGAGCTTGATCATGTTGACAGTGAGTGGGTAGCTAGGGTAGAGATGCACGTGATCAATTGGGTTATCTTCGAGAGATCCCAAGATCTCAGAGAAGTGTTTCTCTAGATATCCAGTTGCTTCACCATGTAGCTTGATGAGATGGGACCTCATGCTCTGGACTTCATAGCTCATTTTCTGAACGTCGACGTTTGTGTCAGCGGTCATGCACAAGGCCTCGAGCTTTTCAAATAATGTATCGCATTCCTTGGAGGGTCTCAAATTCTTGAGTTTCAAGATCTGGTCGTACAAGTCGGTGATTTGATTCACAAACTGACTATCTTCGGAGAGCATGTCGACAATATGAGGACACTTTAGTTTAGCTTCTGGTGTGTTGAAAATTTCTGTTGGGCCCTAAACTTCGAACAAGAGCACTTTATATATTGGCTCTTCTGGGACTCATAGATTTATAAACGCTTTTCTATTTTTAATGAGACATATAGCAATAAAACTGTTTTTATCATAAAAATAATTTACAAGGATAAAAATGACTATAATAGTTTTTATCTAGTGGTTTTAAAACACATAGATCCATATGGTTACTTGGCTAAGGATTAGGGTTAATGGTCTATAAAATTATGATTTATGGTAAAATTTAGAATAATAATATTTTAAATAACTATTCTAAAAATATTTATTTATATTAGATGTAATTTAATATCATGAAAGCTATTTTGATCATTTTCTTATTTGTGAGCTATTTTTATAAATATGGTTTTATACTGTTTTTATGAGAATTGCCTTTTTTTTAATGTCAAGTGGAGTTGGAGATCAATTATATTCAATAGAAATACATGAATTAAAATATATATTATAATACCGAGATATTGCTGTGAAAAAATTTAAATATTACGATATGGAAATAGGTTGCATATCGTTTTTCGTAAATACATTTTGTTTCTTAAAAAAAAAACCTCTATATATTGCCCGTTACAAAAAAAAAAAAAAAAAAAAAAAAGAAAAGAATGTGATTCCTAACAGGGAACAAAAGTGGTAATTTAAAAAATACAACCATTAAACGATATAAAATTAGAACCCGCAAGCTACGACAAACTCAGGAGGTCGGATGTGGGTCTTGAGAACGAGGATAAATCCTTATCCCACCTCCCAAATTAGAAACAAATAAGCTAATTGTCTAAGCTTGCATGCTCTGCCGGATCCAACTCCCACGCACTTAGCTTCCAGAAGTTCGTAGAGCCGATAAGATGTATTCTGATCCATGACACTCAAGAAAATGCAAAACCAAACAGAGTGGCATTTGTTAGCAAAAACATAACAGATATATTCAATCAATATAGATTGATCCAAGTTCTAATTTAAATAAACTAGCTGCTGCTTGTAAAGTACCGAACGAGATTAGATTAAACTTCCAGTTAAACTATTAATAAATTAGATGGCTAAGTGTAGAAATTAAATTAGTAATTTATGAGCATAAAAGGATAGATGAATGTTTGACTGAAAAAAAAAAGAATTCAGTTCTTTAATATTTTTCGTCAAACTGCTACATATTTAATCTTTAAACTTTACAAACAAAAATTTATTTCAAAATACTTTATGAGTTTCAAACTCAACAATATGTTCCAATCAGCAAATTTTCGCAGACATAGTCCTCTTGATTCCTTAGAAGTGCAAACATACCTAACATTTTTTGCCTCTCTAGCTGAATCTGGAGCTCCTCTCCATAAATAAGCATTGCACATTGTTCCAGCGCTCCAACGCTCTTATACATTGAATTGGCAATCAATTAAGTTGATGTTTGTAATGATCTTAGAGAATATATAACTGATTGAATCAATTGATGATGGTATGCAAAGGAGAGATGCCATGCTATCCATGAGTTAAAACCTCCATTGATCTTGTCAATGAGCGGCTGAAAGTAATTTTTCTTCGTTTTCTTAAAGGACAGAGAAGTGCCAAGATATCATAGCGGTAACAAACCTTGCCTAATGGCTAGTCCCTGCTGAACTAGTTAAACTTGGCATTGTCAACGGAGGATATCCTCTATTAATCATAAGTTTCGTCTTTGACATGTTAATGTGTGGACCAGACGTCTGCTAAAACGCATCTTTCATCTCTATATTAACATTTTAAAGAATATTATATATTAAAAATATAAATATTTAATAATATTCTTTATAAAAATTATATTGTAAAAGATTGTTTTTTTTTTTTGACATGGAAAACTTATTTCAATTTCTCAGACAAGTAATGGTTTGGAAACCTAGAATGGCATAGAATAATCAACAAACTACATACCTGTATAAAATTTCTTGCAATATAACTAATGAATTATATATTTTTTATCAACACTTACTTTCTGAAGATATTATATTTGTGTATATGTATATTTTTAAAATAAGAATGTAGTATAAATTAACCTTGTTATTCTGTGGTATATTATAGAAAATATCATTTAAAATATTTATATCCTTAAAGACAACAATTTCACATCAGTTTCTAACTAGTTCACTTGCAAAAATATTTTAATTTATTTCACTGTAAATATAAGAAACTCATTTTAGTTATAAATCTGTTAAAATAACAAAAGGTTACTAAAATTTTAACTGTTTTTTGTAAAATATTTTTGTTTGAACACTTTCCTAGTTAGCAGTCAATATTAATATAAAATAATATCAACCAATTTTTATTTATAAAACGAAAATAAATATTTAAATATGTTTTTTATAAATTTTATTAATCATAAACTATTCTATTAAAACAGAAGCACTATGAAACTAAAAATAATTTTATTTATAAATTTAAAATTAAAAAGAAAAAAATTTGTAAAATATTTTTGTTTGAAAAATTTCCTAGTTAGTAGTCAATATTATTATAAAATAATATCAACCAATTTTTATTTATAAAACGAAAATAAAGATTTAAATATGTTTTTTATAAATTTTATTAATCATAATCTATTCTATTAAAATAGAATCACTATGAAATTAAATATAATTTTGTATTAAATTGTTACATTAACCTATTTTGATTTTATAATATAAAATTAAATTTATGTAAATTAATAAAATAAAATATTATACGTAATTGAAAAAGTAAAAATTAGTATTTATAATATTTTATACATAAAAAATGTTAGCATATCTTAAAAGTTTTCATCCACAACTAGACCTATATATTATCTAAAATACTAACACATAAAAATTGAATTTGTTCTTATAAAAACCTTGTGTATTTGAGAACTTATATCAGAATCTTGTTTTAATTATTTATAAAATAAGATAATTTTAATTTATTATTTTTATCACTAAATTATAGCGGCTGAACAAGACATACCACCATAATCATTGAGAATTTGAAAAATTTGTAGCCTGCATTATAAATATTTAAGAATATCTTTTTTGAAAAAATATATCTAATCTCACGTCTCCTACCAAAGTGAAGTACACTGTACATCCCATCTCATACCAATGTGAAGTACATGTCTCCGTCAAAAAAAAAAACAAAGAAGCCTTTTCATCTGAATATTTCATTAAATTAGAAAAGAACATTTACAAAATAAGGAATCCACACTGAATAAAGTCCAAACAAAAAATGAGGACCAGAGCAGGGCATCCATTACAGAATTCTTTCATTTTCAATTTTCTCAAAAAAAAAAAAGATCTCTCATGTTCAAACAAATGAAAAAGCCACCTGGGCCAGAGCAAAAAAAAAAAGAAGCTAAGTTTACAAAATAAAGTTTTCTTATGTAAACTTGGCTTCTTCTTTTTTTATGATGGAAACATGTACTTCACATTGGTAGGAGATGGGATGTACTTCAACAATGCTAGAAGATCGAACGTACTTTTTTTAGAAAAAAAAAAGAAAGATGGAATGTACTTTGCATTGGTAGAAGACGGGATGTACTTCACTAGAACAATAAAATACATGTAATCATTTGTTGTTTTATTGATTGACGAAGTTTCGGATAGTATATGTTCGGATATAAGTTGATTCGATTCATGCTTTGTAGCCTTTGTACATATAATAGTAATGAAGTGTTTATTAGAATGGGGAAACTTGAAGTTATATGTGAAAATGCCATATTATATACCGAGTGACGTTTTATTAAAGACATGATCCATTATTTTATAAGTATCATTGCCAAACTGTGTTTGGCCAACAAGTCCATTATATGTTTTTTGTTTACATCATATGCTGGTCCAGGTCGCCTCATAATCGGTTAGATCATAATAAAATTATTTATAAAGTTATACATAAATTCATGTTATTCTCTAATTTATATAAAGATCTAAAACATGGGTTTTCATGATACAACGAAAACATAAAGTTGTGCAATAAAGCAAAAAAAAATACATCAAAATATGTTTTATTGACCAATAGAGTAGGAATATAACATATTGGTCCGAAAATTCTAGTTCTAACTGCTTGCTTCTATAGTCAAGTATACAATCATGATCTCCTTCTTTAAGGTTTAAGAGTCTCTTTTATAGGTCATTAGATTTTTCTTCTGGGATTCGCGATGATTATATCTTTTAAATTTATTCGATTTTATTTTATTATTTTGAAAAGTATTTAATGATTCTTTATAGTTTTTCTCTATAATTCAAATTTTACTTTTACCTATTGTAAATTGATTATTTATATATTTCTACATGATTGCTGTAAATAGTTTCTAATTTTATATATTTTCTGAATTTACTCTGACTCACCCAATAATTTTCATAATTATTTCTTAGATTTATTATAATTTTTTATATTTAAATACATTTGGT